TTTTACTGCTTCTTTCAATCTAAGGAAGAAAAGATAAGGACTATCACTGAGGGTAACTAACAATTGAAAGCTCTTGCTTATTATTTTCTACTCCAGCGTGTTAAAATGGGCATCTGTCTCTGACGCAAAACAAGAAGGCAGCATAAATAAGCCTGGCTCCTTTCTGTTAAATTGGTTTTCCGCAATTTGGGGGTTAATGAGTCTTGCAGCATGGTGGCTCCTTTAAAAAAAAAAAAAAAAACGGTAATAAAAATTGTTTCCCTACTTAATAGACATGTTGCAAAAACATTAAAATATGCAAGCTCTTGATTCTAAAAGGGCATTTCGACTAAAGGTAGAAATTAAGAAAGACTATTTCAGGACAGAGGTTAAAATCATTTTGGTCATCTATTAATTTTATCTGTTTATTCCTTAAGACAGAATGTCACTCCCACAGTTTTTAGCCTGAAAGTCAGGTCTTTCATATTCAAGCCCCTATACTGGGTTATAATTTAGAATCTTGTTTGTCTTTATACATTGCCATCTAAATAAATGAGTGCATTTTCCCAGACCGCGTATTCACCATCATTAGCGGTGCAATCAAGAATGATGCAATTCCATGAAATGCATAAAGATAGATAAAATAATGAAATACATAACGCCAGGGCCTTTTACTCATATAAACACAAAATGTAAAATAGTATCAACTTTCAAAACATGATTTGGCAAAGTAATTTTTTAAATGAGAAAATTAAAGCGATACTGGAGAACCAAATTAGTCTGATTGACACTCCATAACATTCCACTTCACTAGAAAAATTTCCACCTACTAATTTACGTTCCCTGTAAAGCTAAAGCAAAAGAGGACTCTTCAAATGTTTTATTTACTGGCCAATTTCTAGACATCCGTACTCAGTGTGCACAGTAACAAGCTGGTGCTAATAAGCCATACATAAAAATCCTACTTATTAAAATACAAATTAGGCACCCCTTATGTTGATACATGTGTAAGTACAATTAATATTGCAGGCTTAGTTGGAAACAAAATTGCTTTAGTTAACCAACCATTGCAAAGTAATCAGATGAGATTTCAAATGCAATCGGAAAAGATCTGTTTGGTAGAAATAATAGCAATTATTTCATGTGGAACAATTCGTTTGCCAAGCTCTTCTTTCCTTCTCCCACCTGCTTTTCATAAAATAATTTGTCCATCATAAATGACACAAAATGTCACCTTTAACACCCATGAGTTGCACTGAGACCTGAAAGGCAGCTGGTAGACATAGCTTATTTATAAATATTGGTTTGAACTTGTAAATGCATGACCGCATAAATCTTAATCCATTTAGAGTACATGCCCTTTGTTCCCTCACTTGTATATTCAGCTGGGAATGGAGTGGAGCTGAGGGAGAGTGTGCATCACACCAGCCCTTTGTTGTTGCCAGCAGATTAGTGCTTTGCCTTTTGTTCTTGTTGTTCCTGAGATTTCTCTACATTACGCAGCGGGGAATGTTAATCAACATTTTGCCTAAGTAATATTAATGAAACATGCCCACTTATACTTGAGGGAAGAATCAGAATATTATATTTCTTTTTGAAATGTTAATGTACCTTTTAGGAAATTATTTCTGCCTTCTAGATCATCTCAGTGCCAAATTATTAAAGGATGGCATTAAAGAACTATTGCACTGATGCAAATAGTTAAATATCTTAAAAGATAAAAGTATTATAGAGTTTAAAAAGAGGACCTTTTGGAAAATGGTAGTGTTTGACTTCAAATTCAACATTGCTAATTGGCTAAAATGTTCACAACGTTTTTGATTGTTTTGTGTGTTTTCACAAAATGACAAGACATTTAATGTTGATAATTTGTGATTTCCAAACATGGTCTTGAATGGTGGTCTTGAGGGATTTATTTATCTGTTATGTCTACGAACCGAAGCACCATCTAGGTTATCAGGAAAGAAAGACAGGAGGGGAGGGTGGCTTATGTTGTACGCTTACTTATTAGAGTCTTGAGATTAAGCAATCTTCACTCTGGTTCTGTTCGCCAAAAAATAAAAACTGCCACTATCTCAACATTCTATCACAATATGGCACTTCAAAGAGAAAGGCTATTTATTGTAAAGACTTTATGTACAGCTCACATGATAAGCTATGGAAAATATCAGTTCTCAGTGTGCAAATTGTAACAGCTGTGTGTCCTGCTGACATTATTCACAGTTCTTCAAAAAGGTTACTCAAGAAATGAGTTAACAGTGCTCTAAAGTAACCTATTTTCCCTTTAATAGCTTCTTTTAATGCCGATCCATATGTTCATAGTTCCTAAATAAATTGTGAACTAATCATGGGGAAAGTTTAGAACAAAATTTGTTCAAGAATTTTCACACGGTAAAACTCCGAACACTTACTGAGTAAACCACTTATTTTCTGTTTAAGCTTGTAAGATTTAGTAATGACTTTTGTATTATCGTGGAGCCAATTTGCCCTTTTTTCAGTAGTGCTGCTACTTGAATACAGGCATTGTGAGAGGGGGTAATATGAGTTACATTTCAAGATAATTTTTTTCACATTTTGGTATCTCACAAATAGAAATAGAGCTTAACGTTGTTGGTACATCATAATTTAAATGGTTCCTTCTTTCTTAGAAATAAATCAAATAATAAAATGGCAGAGAGTTTTATCCTTCATGATGGTTTGGATTTGATAGAATACAGTAATAGATCGTTTGCATTGAGTGCTTTTGTTTTAGGAGTTATTTAAGAAGAAAGAAAATCATTGCCAAAAATTAACTTAGTGTTAATGAGTCCATAAAGTTTTTACAGTGTATCTGTGAAAGGAAAACTTTTATCCATAAAACGGTACACAGTAGTTAACTAAAGCAGCACCCGTGACATAAAAGCATTGCTACAATCCTACTTGTTAATTTAGTGTTTTCCACATTAATTGCTCCTTAGAAAACCGAAAAAGATGTGCAACTAATAAATGACTACTTACAATAACTACCAAACCACCTTAATGGAAAGAAAGAAGCTTTCTTTTGAACAGCAAATATATAATTATTAATTTTGTATGTCTTAATGGTCTTTTAAATTCTCTTAATTACTAAAGACTCAAACGATAACAGCACCCATTGTGTTACACCAACACTAGGCACAATACCTGATCCAGATGTTGCTCTCTTACCACCTTCCACTGCCCTTACCACACCATCTCTCTGTTGTGCGAGAGAGTAATTTCCATTCAGCATCAGCTAATCAAAAGGATCTTTATTTAGATATATTAGGTTTGCTTTGACCCTTTCAACAAAATAGGTTCAAGTTTACGTTGCTTCCTTCTAAAAGCAGCTAACAACATTATGAATCCTTTCATTGGATGAGCTTATAATTTGCTCAATGCTCATTATGTTTTTAACTTAACCATTGATTTTTTTTCCTTTATATGTTACAGATGGAGAATTGATCTTTATTATCCCACTTCTGATAAAAATGGTGGACAAAGCTAAGGCCCACATGATACTAACAACTGAGATGATGCATCATCAAGTCAGTGGAAAAAGACACTGACAATTGTCATCTAGTGTCTTCAACAGACTGTGTAAGAAAGGTAAATTAGTGGAAAAAATAGCAAAAGTAAATAATATCAGAATCACCAAGCAGGGAAGACTATTTACTATCATTTAAGTGAATGAAATATCATTTAGTGTTTGATATTCAACATACCATTTATCACATATATCATAATCACACTAAGTAGAAGTGCTAAACCTGACTTTAATGCTCCACTGAATCATAACTATTTGTCTTTAAATTTGAGACTTTTATTTTACAAAACATCAAAAACTGCCATCGCAGTTTAATGCTGTTTAAATGTGGGTATGGGGGGAGGGGACTAGGTAAGTCACATCCCAAAATGGGTTGTCTGGAATTTATCTGTGATCAAAAACTAAAGAGATTTTCACTATACACTTAATAATTCAAATAGGGAACAGAAGTGCTTTAGCTGATTGTTAAGGACAGACTTCTGCACTGTGCCCCTTGGCTATAAGAGCATAAACAGATGATGGACAAACCTCCTTAGGAGAATTTCTGCTACTTATATAACTAGACTAGAAACTCCTAGAACACAAGTTTATCAATATAATACATGCAAAAGCTAATGTCTGCCAGCATTGGTAAAAGTAGGCCAGAGTAGAGGAAAGATTACTTCTAGCTAAAGTCAAGCAAATTAAATTTAAAGAGGTTTAGTATTTTCATTTTCACTTTAATTGTATTGCCTACCACCAAAGTGATTATAACACACATACCACTTCTCTTAAACTCAAAGCAGTTAGAGGCAACTTGTTTTTCAACTAGAATATCTGTAATATCTACAAAGATTAATCATATATTATAATGCAATGCTACTTTCAATGTATTTTATAAATACTGTACTTTAAATATGGGAAAATATTTCAAAAAACTTTTTATTTTTCATATGGAACATAGCAAGTACACTTTGATTAACTTATATGGCCCTGGTTAACCAAAAACATTTTTTTTAAAACAACCAACAGTGGCCGGGGCCTGGCACAGTGGCTCACACCTGTAATCCTAGCACTCTGGGAGGCTGAGGCAGGAGGATTGCCTGAGCTCAGGAGTTCGAGACTAGCCTGAGCTAGAGTGAGACCTGGTCTCTAAAAAATAGCCGGGCATTTTGGTGGGTGCCCTGCAGTTCCACCTACTTGGGAGGCTGAGACAAGAGGATCACTTGTGCCCCAAAGTTGAGGCTGCTATGAGCTTTGATGTCACAGCTCTCCTGACAGTGATAAAGGAAGATTCTGTCTCCAAAAGACAAAAAACAACAACAAAAAAAAAACCTAGTAAATAAAAAAAACAACAAAGAATATAGTTGTTTTCTGGTCCCATAACACTGTTAAGATTCCATCACTAAAAAATAGTTTAATGTGAACATAAGTATCCGAATTATCCTGACACAAAATATCAACCTATTTAAATGAAGTAGTTAAAAAGAGTCCTTACTGCAAAATCTTCTCTCCACTGGTGGGCGGCTTGAACTTTCTCTGCTTCCAAAGCCAGGCGCTGAAAGAAAACAAAAACAAAACAATAAATCTCAGAATTCAAATGATCCTAGGAATATGTAATTGTTATATAAAGTTCTTTGGTCTTCTAATCGATTGTGAAGCTAAAAAGCAAAAGAGTGACAGACACTCTGTGGTGGCCACAAAGCAAGTCAGATCCTGCCCACTCTGGAACCCTGATCCACTTCCTCACTTCCATGCAACCAGGGGCTGACAAGCCAGATACAACTGAGATGGAGAAATTCGTTAAGTCACAATTGAAGAAGGCAGAAATGCAGGAGAAAATCCACTGCCTTCCAAAGAAACGCTCAGACCCCTGAAGCAAGCAGTGAGATGCAGTGAGGAGAGCGCTCTGATATGCACCGACAGCCACAAGTACTGCCTTCTTATTTTACTGCTGTTAGCTGTTTAAGTTTGTAAGCTGCAGAGAGATGGGATCAAGTTTAAATGACTGTGCTGCTCCTTGAACATCAAAGTATGGTGAACTACTGATACCGAAGGCCCAGCCTGCCTCTCCCAGCTGCCTGTCTCGCTGACAGGGAAGGAAAAGAACTTGCATATTGGTGAAAAAAGATGGGCGGAATGGCAGTGAAATCTAAAGTAAAACCGAGTTCAGTCAGGCTGTAAAATGCAGTTAATCTGAATGATATTTTTGTTGTTGTTACTGTTCTTCAAATGATTATTAGAATACACAATCATTTTAACATGCGAGTAAGATTTAAAACCTGAAAAGCCAAAGACACTCACTTACAATTCATAAACTCTAAATCATTTAGTAATCTAACCTACTAAGGTTGGCCTGTGTGTAGTTGTTTTTCAGCAATAATAGTAACACACACTTCCTGAGAAATCACGCAATTTATTAGCTCCGCCATCAGCAGCAGCAGTGCCCTCTTATATGAGTGCTTTCTTTGAATGACTAATGTTTTAGCTTGTAGAAAAAGTTCTAAATTTTATTTCAGTTGTTTTAGAAAAAAGGCAAGAGGATATGTTAATTTTGGTAGAATTCTGTTTTTAGAAAGTACCTGCATAGTATGTATTTCTGTAAGTTCAAAGAAAATGGCAGCATTGAGAGATTAATAAATATGTCCCAAGCACTAGGAACCTTACTACTCCCTTGTTAATAGGATATTTATTAAATAGTCTTTACTAAAAGTCACAAAACGCAATAACTTCCTCTGTATTTATGTCATGGAGGCATCAGCTTTGTCCATCCTTTTATAAAGAACCTTAGCAGTTCCTTCAGAGGTAATGTATAATAAAGTATCTGTGCACTGAAATTGGACGGATTCTCATGTGATAACATTTTTTAATAGGTAAGAAAATTTCAAGCTGACTTATTTTCTCTTAGCATTTTCAAAATGTGATTCCATTAGGTTCAGGGGAGTGTCTGCCACTCACCCTGTGTAGATAAACTTATTTTCCTTCTCCAGCAGTTTTTAGATTTTTCACTTTGTATCTCACAGTTTTAGTGTCATGTTCTACATGTGATAAACTTCTACGATGACAGTGACATTCAGTGACAAAGAACACAGTTTGAGTGCCAGCCCTTGTAACCTCTGAGCTGTGCAGCCTTGGAAAAGTTGTCTCTTCTCCCATCTTCCCACACGAATAATGTGAAAGCCAGTCTCCTGGGCTGATGGAAGTTCTATGTAAGTTGTTAGCATATTTTGCTGTGTATAAACAGTACTTTTTGGCAGCCAGATACAATGAAGAAAATTGGTACTTTTCTGTGAAAATTTCTGCTAGGATATTTTTATTATTACAAATTGGAAAATATCTTCCCAAATAGGTACTTTCCGTGGATTTGTTTACTTAACCTGTTACTTAGATAAATCAATTCTCAACTAAAGCTTAAAGTTATTTTCTTGGGCATAAATTTTCATTACTATGAAAGTAGCATGAAGGATCACTGTGGTGCTTGTTCTAAATGTGAACAATGTGCTGTATGGAAAATTTTTAACTGTTGGATGATTACAAATAACAAAGAGTTCCAAAAATAAAAGTGTATTTTTTGGCCCAAATTTTCTAGGAAAAAACAAGGATGCACATTATATGTGTACATGGGTAGTATCTGTCAGGAGCAGGGGAACCCAATGGGCCTCCTTGGGCCACTGTGCAATCCCATCCGGGACAGCCAGGCAGATGGATTCCAGTTGGGAAGGATCTCGTATTCCATGGGAAAGGACTGGAATGGCCTCTACCCAGTACCACAATCAGGGTGGAGGGCAGTGGGAGGCTGCTGAGGCAGGCAAGTCATACAGGGCGGGAAAGGCTTTCAGGGGAGAGAGAAGGGACAGCCTTCACAGAGCAAATGGCTGTGGGAGGGCAGTGAGATCCGCACATTTACCAGGGGAGCATTAGCCCCTCTATGTGTGGCTCTCCCAACCAAGCACCGGCCACTTTCCCAAGGAGCATTTGTTTTCATGAAAGTTTGGGCAGAAAAAGTGGGTACATGTTATACACAGGACATGTATTACCCAGCAAAATACAGAATATATAAAATGCTTAGATCAGTCCCTGGCACGCAGGGAGCTCTATGTCAGCTATCAATTTTGAACAGTTAGTTGTGACTCCTCTTGCTCCCTATATCCCTTTGAGAAAACTGTTTAGTGTTGAAGTGACCTGTAACCTGCCTCACACAGCTAGAAGATGATGTTAGAAATTAGACAAATAGAAATGCAAATATAGTAAATGTAAACGTATGAAACTCAGTTATTCAAAGATTAAGATTATTAGATTAGATTTTAGAAAATCATAAATCTTCAAGTAATTTGTTGGTTTATATAGTTTATAATCTTTCCTGATAAGCCATTCCTCAGTGTGTGTCATCCTATGAAAGTCCATTCTGAGTTGGACAATGTAAACATCCGAAGACCAATTTTTATAGTAATGTATTGGCTTCTATCTCTGTGATTTACTGTTATAATCTGTTCATTTTCCTAAGCTATTACGTAGGTATTACTAATGATCATATAATATTGCCTAATGAGAGATGTCAGTGCAAGCTGAATCTACAGGAAAATCCTCCCTGGTCTGCTTAAATGACGGTGGTTTTGGCTATCAGCTAGTAGACAGAAATAAATATAAAAGGAGCTAGAAAGTGTTAGATACTGTACCAGGAAGAATAATGAAAGGAAAGTTCCCTATCCCTACAAAAACAAAAAACTAAACATTGCAAAGCCAAAAAAGGCAAGTATATACATGTTAGTGACATTGCAACATGGCACTTCTGGAGACTCAAAAATTCAAATGTAGCCACAAAATGAATGACATAGCAAGTGGAAAGGAGATAGAAGAATTTTCTTATAGAAAAGAAGTAGGATTAAAAAAAGAAACAAAGAGAAGACAGAAAGAGAAAACCAACATGAAGTTATATGCAACAACATTCAGAATATAAAACTTGTGACATTTTTAAGCGGCACTGATAAGAATATGTAACCTATAAAAATAAGCTATGAAATACACCTGGGAATTTCATGAATTTACACAAAATACTCATTAAAATATTGAAGAGACTTTTTTTTAGGTTATGAAATATTAGGACTCAAAAATGCCTTTAATCTTTAGAGAGGGACATTAATTAAGGTTTTTCCTTCACCACACACAGGAGGAGTATGCTGCCACCACAAACAAAACACACTGCTTCACAGGGCCACGCACAGTTTTCAAGGTACCAGCTGGAACTCGATCATGCTCTTGCCTCCTCTGGAGCCCGTAAGGAAGTGTAAACTAACTGATTTGACTCCAAATCACAGGGCTTATGGCACAAACACTAACCTGTTTCCTAAGCTACAATGGCAGTAACCATTACGACTATTTCCAAAGAAACAGAATAACAAACAATGACAACAAACTATAAGACAACTCTCCCAGAAGGAAGAGTCGAAAACAGCTTTATGTATAATGCATATTTTTAAATGCTAATTTAATAAAATAAAGCCATCTATTGCAAGATTCTGAACAAGGTTAAGAAATCTAAAGCCATAAAGTTGTATCTATGAAAATGACATGTATTTTTAAAGGTTTGTTTGCAGCTCTAAAGCTGCTAAATTTTATATTTCTAGCTTGGAAATCCAGAAATATATAATCATGAAAAATGTATATCATTATCTTCTTTGTTCATGAGGAAACTAATGAAATTTTTTTTTAATCTGGCAAAATTTCATGAGAAAGCAAAATACTAAACTTTAGATAGTCTACTTTAGAAGCAGTACAAACAGACAGTGAAAGGGCTCTTTCTTGTAACAAAAGACCAGCTGATCATTACATCTAGAAAATTGACATGTCTTCCAGACACTTCCAGGCTCTAATTAACTTCTATTCTGATCAAGTGACATTTTATTTTCAAAGCCAATGATCTACCATTAAATGCCACAGGCAAATTGTGTTAAGGCTGCTCAAATCCCTATCTAATAAAATGTGAATATTTGCTCAGTGGAGCATCTTTACCTTCATAGTTGGCTATATAAGAAAAAAAAAATCTTTCTCATGTAATTTATAATACAGCATCAAACACTAAAATCAGACTGAGGACTGAGCACCCAACAGAAAGATGCTGGAGCAGCAGGAATCCCTCTGAGAAACATTAATTCTGCTTATTTCTGCTCATACTAAGATAAACCAGGAAAGTTCATTTAAATGGCTTTTTTATAAATGAGATAGCACATGCATCTGTGAAAATTCTTTAGGTGTAGAATGCTAAGTATATATATATATATATATATATATAGTTTGAAATGTGTTAATAAAATTTACTTTCCTACCCACTTATTAGTTTGAGCATTTAAAATAGAAATCATATAAAGATGATTTTACGATTCAAACTTTAACAAAATGGACTTAACCCTAAACCTTGTGATTCCCGAAGCTTGTTTCCCATAAAACTCATCCAAACATTTATAACTAGAAATTCACAGCACGTGTATCAATGCCAAAACACTGGTAGAATCTATTTCAGGTTAATGAAACATTTCCCAGCATAATTTTTAGAAATTGCTA